AAAAAAAATAAAAAATAAATCACAAAAATAAAAAAAATAAATAAATAAAAATTAAAAAAATACACAATTGTTAAAAAATAATAATAATAATAATAACCAATTCATGTTATCATAAATAACATTTTTTAATGAAAAAGCTTTTCTGAAAGATTAGTGGTAAGAATGTCATTGTTTTATATTTTTGAAATCTCTTTACCATCTGGTTTAAAAAAAATTCAGCTGATTTCTTTTATTTACTTCTGCATTCAGTCTCTTAAGTTAGGTTGTTTTGGTTGAAGTATGTGAATAAAAATCCAGCCTCAAGTGGATATGTAAGTGGAAAGGTGAGAGAGGACTACTGTAATAACCTTTTCAAATAATTGTGGTTATTTCTTTGATATTGCACCCAAACTGCATTTCTTAGTATTCATAGTATGGAATCTGAAATCATATTAATGAACATTTTATACTCTGTTACATTAAAATATATTGGAGTATCTTGGCAATTTGAATAGCTCTTTCTGTATTAAAATCATGCATTGGTTATTTGGTTCATTGAGTTATGTAGGTCTTTAAAATATTAACATATTACATTATATAATATAAAAAAATTGTATCCATTAATACCACTATAGACCTCATCATAAAAGTCTTGAAGTTTATAAAGCTATCAAGCTCATGTGGTGGTGGACATGTTTTCCAAAATGCTAATTCTTGATTGAAAGTTCAAATTTTATCATTGGCAACAAATATTGTCAGTTATTTTCCTTGAAATGAGTGGCTCACTTGTTTCATTTTTGAGAAAATGTCTGCCAGCTACTGAGGTTTAAATCATTATAGTTTGTCATTCATTCTTTCAAGTAAAAATATTTCTTAAAAGAAGTGGCTGGTTGAGCTTACAACTCAAAAAATTACACAGCCATGTCTTGGTTTGCAGTGGAACTGATTTATATGTACTTTCCATTTTGCCCTATAGGATGTTCAAAAGACATATATTCAAGGGTAGAGATTTAATAAAAAATTTAATAATTTTGCCACTTTAAGTAAACCTGGTATTTGTTAACTGCCATGGTGACAACCACATGACTGCTGGTACAATTTGGGTGCTACTGTCCTGCTTTTGAGTAAAGGCACCAGAAGTTTTCATTTTGCTTTTGCACCATTGGTGCATATGTTGGCACAGTGAAGAAGGCAAATACTATCTTAGTATTTTTGGAAAATAGTTTTAACCTGGTGGATGCCCTGAAAGAGTCTTGGAGAGCCCCAGGGGTTTACAGGCCAAGACTTGAGAACTGCTGCTTTGGGATGTTGCTGTTTTACTAAAGACATCTTCAAACTGAAGTGGGATGGCCTTTGGTCAAAAGCATTTACATGGGGAGAGTATTGTTAAAAAGGAAGGGAGGTTGGACCTGGTAGTCAGTGAGGACCTATCCGACTCCAGGGTTACTGAGGGCTGGGTGAGGGAGATGGGTAGAAGACAGAGGTGGCGCAACTCCTCCATGAAAACCTGCCCATTGTGCCTTCCCTTTTAAGTTTAGATGGGACAATCTGGGAGTACAGAGATATGAGCAGGATTTCAAGGGGCTGGTACAGCAGGCAGGATGGCTAGTATTACATCTCTCCTCCAAGAATTGTATCTCAGATAGAAGGGAAATATCTTCTGTCTGTTGATTTGGTTATTTCAAAAGCAGAGACTTAAGAAATAAAACAGGCAAAAAGTAATACAGGAAATTAGAAACTACAGAAAAATAAAACACAGAAAAGTCATCCATGATTCCACCACCCGAGGATGCCAAACTGTTAATGGTAGTCTAAAGGGAAGATATTCTTATATGTTGTGACACAGAGCAGTTACTGATCATTGGGGAACAATCCAGATCATTTGTAACTGTTTGCATTGGTGCTGTCTGTATTTGTCTCGGGCTGTAGAGTTGACAATCCCAGCAGTGCTCTCACAGGTGGAGCATGAATGGCCCCTTCCAGAGATAGGCAGCGCTGCGGCTCTGCCAGGTGCACATTGTCTGCACACAAGTCACGGTATAAATATATTCTTACTGCTAATTATGCAGTTGGCACTTTGGTCCATGATTTTGTTAAACATGGTTTCTTAAGAAGGAAAAGATACTTTCATTACTTTGGAGAAAACTTTGTGGTAGAAGTCACTAATAGGCAGAAGAGAGAATGTTATAAAAGCTTTATTGATCTTCTTAATTGCAATGTTCAGCTCCACTGCCTGACAATCAAAGCCAGAAGTACAGGTCTCCAGGAAATTCAGCCCCTATAGAAAAAACCGCACCCTTCTTACCATCATATATCTACCAGAATCAAATGCAAGAAAAAATGCACACTTTCAACATTTTATCCACTGAACAAGACTTCTGTACTCCTCAAGATTTTGTGTTGACGTCAAAAAGTAGTGCTTCTCACAATATGTTTTATGAGGCACAATGTCAAGAAGCACTTGCGAAAAAAAACGATTTGAAGGAAGAAAACCATAACCTTCCTATAGGTGAGTTACTTATATTTCTCTTTTTGTATTTAACTAAGAGTGTTACCAAGTTATCCTACTCAAGAACAGCCGTTTCTGCATTTTTTCCCTGTCCCCTCAGCTTTAATTGTGAGCCTGGATTGGATGCAGAACCAGATAGGATTTGTTTCTTCCCAAGGGCGATCACCTTACTCACGCTGCCTTGCATGGTAGCACGGGGTCTTCAGAAAGGAAGACAGCGAGTTCTGTGTGTGCCATTTTCTTTGAGAGCTTAGAAATAGTTTGAGGTTGATATAAAAGGTGTGTGGTGGGGGGTTGGTGGTAGGGTGCATGATAGAAGATGTGAAATATGAGAAATAGGTTGGTGATGGGAGTCACAACTCATAAAAGAAATACTAACCCAGACACTCAGATTGTCTACACTGTACCCCTGTATTCCTAGTACCAAGCACGTTCCTGCCAGAGAAATGGCACTTGGTGTCCGATGGTCTAAACTCATGGAGCTTACATGGCATTTGTGGTCTTTTTTTTTGTATGTTTCTGTGGCCACCCCCACCCCCTTCACTTTTGTAATCATAGAATATTGTTTAATAAATTGTGTTGTTTTCCCACTCAATCTGAAAAATGTTTATGATAGGTTCCATAGTTTTCATTATCATTATTATAATTGTCATCATTATGTTGTCACCAAATAATATACCACTATTTAATGTTCCTTGCAATAGGACTGAGTTTTTTGCTTAATTTTTCATTTTAATTTTTGATTTTAATGGTGTTTTCACAAATACGTTATTTTGAGTAAGTTATTGAAAATACAAGTAATATGACAAAAGGTGAATATGCTTACTACTTAGGATTGGGTACTTTTCTGCATAATATCTTATTCCTAATTTTGAGTAATTTCTCTGGTTTGGAAAGATCAAATGTCTTTTTCTTATTTTTTAAACAATATACTCCCCTAAGTTTCTATTTTGGAAAACTTCAAACATCAAGAAAAGTTGAAAGACCACTGCAATGATTACCAGTATACCAGCCACCTAGATTCAACAGTTAATATTGTGTCATATTTAGTCTGTATTTTTATGTGTGTATCTATATCTATACCTATATAGTAGTCCCCCCTTATCTGTGGGGGATACATTCTCAGACCCCCAGTGTATGCCTGAAACTGCAGATATATATTATGTTTTTTCCCTCTACATGCATACCTATGATAAAGTTTAATTTATAAATTAGGTATGAAATAAGAGATTACAACAATAATACTAAAATAGAGCAATTATAACAATATAGTGTAATAAAAGTTAAGTCAATGTGGTCTCTCATAATGTCTTACTGTACTGTATTCACCTTGTGATGATGTGAGATGATAAAATGCTATGTGATGAGATTAAGTGAGGTGAATAACATAGGCACAGGGCAGTAGTGTTAGGCAACCATTGCTCTCTGACCTTCTGTCAGGAGGAGAATCATCTGCTTTGGGACCTTGGTTGAGTACAGGTAACTGAAAGTGTGGAGAGCAAAACTGTGGATAGGGGGACTTGTGTATGTCTCTCAGAATCTCTGTATAACTTGCCAAATCATTTCATCGCAAGTAATATTCAGACATTATGTTATATCATTTCAAATATTTCAGCATTCATCAAGTAAAAATTATTTTCTAGATAACCACAATACTACTATTATATCCAAGGACATTAACAGTAATTCCTTAATATTCAAATCCATTTTAGAATTTCTCCTGTTATCCCCAAAATGTTTTTTAAAGGCGTTTTTTTAAAAACCAGGATCTGATCAAGTTCATTGTATTACACTCAGTTGTGACACCTCTTTAGTCGTTTTTAATTTAGAGAAGCCCACCTATTTTTTGCCCATAATAACCTTTTGAAGGATGTCGTTTTAATTAGGGTTTTATAAAGTTTTTCTTTATTGAATTAAAGAGTTCTAAAAATCTTTGACATTCATTACTTTAAACACTTTTTAGCACAGTAACTTATAAAATTCTCAAGTTTTAAGACTTTGATCTGCTTTTTTTCAACTAAGTTGTTCCTAATTTTTATCCTAGGAGAAGATATTTTACCATGCTGGGAGAAAATGATGGAACCGATTCAGGAAGGAAATGATATGAACCTAAAAAAATGTGGTTCCTCAGAAATGCTTAATATTGAAGAAAGGTATCCATGTTGAAAGGAATAAGAAATGTGACAGTTTAATAGCCAGCCATCATTATTGAGCTCTTTCTTTGAAAGATCCATAGTTTTCTTATTTCACCTTAAATATGCTTTTAAATATAATGTTCAAGATATACAACAGTATCACATACTGTCAGCAACAGAAAGAGGTTAGAGAGATATATCAGTTAAATTAGTTTTGGCATTGTATTCGAAGAACTGAGCAAAGTTTTTTCACTTAAGAAATATCTGGATAAAAGTAATCTCTCAAATAGTTAAGTAAATCCTATTCTGGCAAAGAGAAACACAAATATTGGAGTCTCACATTTGATGTCACTTAAAATTGTGTAAGTCAGGTTACAGAATTCAAAAATTTTATGACAAAGATAAAATATCAAATGGAGGTTTATTTCCTTAAATATTTAAAATATTTTAATACAGGTTATGGATTGGCAAATAGATTTTTTGATTTTTGCTCTATTTACATTGTTAAGGATCTTTTTAAATTAAAGAACAATTTTTGTGATCTATTTTTGAAATATATTTTAAAGTTATAATGAATATGTTACTTTAAAAGTTAATCTATAGTCCATAGAAGGATTTCAGAAGGCTTTTTGTCAAATCACATGTAGAGTGTCGTAGTCGATGTATTTTGGGAGACAGAGTGGAACTGTAGCTTTCATCAGACTCTCACAAGGGGCCTGTGGCTTTGAAGAAGGTCAGTTCTCAGTCAGGGGGTCTATGTCAGGCACACTAAGGGTGAAGATTTCACCACCTCATGATTTGCATGTTAGGTAACTATTTTTATGATTAGGCCCATCCAAGCTGCTATTAGAGAAAAGAAACAGACATTTGAAGACTACTTAGAAGAACAAATTCAGTTGGAAGAACAAGAACTGAAGCAAAAACAGGTAAGAGTTAATACTTCCACTGTTTTACTTCAGTTATCTAGGGCTTTAGAGAGTTATTGATAACTTGCTTTCAAAATAACTTTGAGATTGGGTGATACCAGAGTTAATTCAAATATTCTTTTATTTTAGGAAGCAGAAGGATCATTGCTAATCAAAGCAAAACCAAAGCATCCATTCTTAAAAAGAGGAGAAGGTTTAGCTAGATTTATTAATGCTGAATCTAAGTTTCAGAAAGGGAGAGAAAGTAAACCAGTGACTAATCAGAGCATTTCAGAGAACCAACCTGTGTTTAAAATAGACAGACAACAATTCCAGCGGAAAACTGCTCTTAAAAATAAAGAACTGTGTACAGAGAACTCTTCTGTGAAAAAGAACAATAAAACTAGAATCAAGAGTGGTTTGTTCACACTTAATCAGAAACCCAAAGTGCTGAAGAGTAATAATAGGAAAGGTCTCTCTCTGTCAGGACTGAAACTACTCACTGGGAGGAAATGTGATGGGCGATTCAGAGACCAGATCAAATTAGAAAAAAAAGTAGAGTCTAATGATAAAGAAAATGTACCTGAGTGTATAAAACCTTGTGATATTAGTTGGGAAGTCTGGAATAAGGCACAAAGTAAAAACAAACTTCCCCTTTCAATAGGGCTGGTCAGCTGTGCGGCTTCTAAGAGTATGATAAGTGAGACCTTGAAAGAGTCAGAATCTTCTCTTGACATTTCTCTTCAGAAAAGATTAGAGAATTGGGAACGAGAAAAGGAAAAGGAAAATTTAGAATTAGATGAATTTTTATTTTTAGAACAAGCTGCTGATGAAATATCATTTTCCAGTAATTCCTCATTTGTACTGAAGATCTTAGAGAGGGACCAACAGGTCTACAAGTGTCACCAGCTGTCTTCTACCCCCGTCAAAGCCGTGCAGCAGGAGGAGATGGCAGCTTCGGGACCCATTAGTCAGTGTGCCCGAATGGAGGATCCAGACCAAACTAAAAAACAAAGTAAGGGTAAGTGTGAGGTTGCACCCAGACAGCTTGATTCAGTGTCCTTGCCTGAAGGGCTGAGGGAACACTCTTTCAAAGCCAGCAGGAAAGCGTGCCCAACGAGCACTTCTGAAAATCAAACTAGGTGGAATGTAAGTGAGGATGAAGATGTTGCGAACAGTGACAGCACTGACACTGAGGAACGACTTGACGTTGCCATGAAACCGTCAGCTGAGGCTGAAGAGAGAGGTTTTAGCAGCAGAGAAGATAGTCCACAAGTCTGTGATGGTAAGGGACCTTTTAGGGACACTGGGACTCAAGAAGATAAAGGGAGAGATGTGGATTTAGACTTGTCTGATAAAGATTATAGTAGTGATGAGTCTATCAAAATAGAAAGCTTGAAAAATAAAGTTTCTGAGTCCACAAGAAGACCCTCATCTGTAAGCGTGTGTAAAATTGACTTTGATGATGAAAGATCTTGGGCTGACCTTGAAGAAAATTCATTTAAACATGATGTTATTCCTGGGAATGAAGCCATTTATGGTACTCCCCAGACAGCCTACCCTAATACGAGTGAAATATATGTACTGGACAAAACAGTAAAAAGGAAAGTTGCACCAGTCAAGAAGGGAGAAGACTTGAGCACATCCATTAGGAGCACAAGTCCCCCTCCTACATCAGATCTGATGATGAAATTCTTTCCTTCTTTGAAACTGAAACCAAAATCAGATCGACATTTGGGAAATGAACCCAAATTAAATATAAGTCAAGACCAACCATCTGGTAAGTCAGAGCATTATAAAATATGTAGAGAGTATTACAAATTTAACATTTATCAACTTGTCAGAATGCTTGAATCCTGCATTGCTACTGCTCAGAACTATAATTAGTAGGTGATTTGTTAAAATTTGATTGGTTTTACAGGCCTAAATAGTGTAATAGTCACTAGTATAAGAGATTTGGATGACTTACAATTTCAGATTTTTCAAATTTGAGCCCATGTCTTATTCCCAAGGCTTTACAATTAACTATTGTAAAGTGAGATAACATTTAAGTTTCTTTTATGACCAGGGAGTACCCGATTTATGATTTGTGTTACAAAGGGATGAACCTTTGGGTATGCACACTCTTAGAAGGACTGTTACTTCCTTAGTTTTTTTTACTGCCTCATTCATTAGCTTGCTAAATATGACCAAGAAGAAATACAGTAAATCCCAAGTTTCTTTTCTTCCCCAGACCTGGGTTCTCCTTTCTTAGAGGCTCAGCATTCCCATTTCATTGTGTGTTCTAAAAAGATTCTATGCACATGAAAGCATATTTGTGACCCCCACTCTAAACAAATGAAAATACGCCTTTTACATACCATTCTGTACTTTGTTTATAATAGATTTTGAAGATTGTTCTAATACATGTATCCATTTGCCTCATTCCATTTAATGGCTGTATTGGATCCAGTTGATATGATGGACTCTATAAAACTGAAATTGAAAAACTCTTTCCCATGATATCATGTTATAAACTGAATGTTTAGCAAAGCATAAGTGCTTTAAAATACAAATGAAGTTGAACTATTTAAAAAAAAAAAACCTCTGATTTTAAAAGTAGTACTTTTTGTGAATATTTAGAAGCTTAAAAAGTATAGAAGCAAAAATGTTTATACTCAGCTACCCAAAGGTATTCATTTTGGGATATTACCTTCCAGTAATTTTTCCTGTGGTATTTTTAATGTGGTAGAGACATTTTTTATAACTTGCCTCATCCTGTTTGACCCAGGTATATAATATGTGTTGACCATATCATTAAAACTCTTTGCATACTTTGTTGCAGTATATTACATAAGTGTAGCATAATTTTTTCATTAATTTCCTTAATGCTGGAAATTTTTCACTATTAGAAATAATGCAATGCATATTTTTGTTCAAAACTATTTGTATGATTTTAGAAGTTTGTTCTTTAACTAGATTTTTGGAAGTAGAATAACTGGATCAAAGGTCGATAAGTGTATTTTAAAAGCCTTAAGGTATAAATCAAATTTATTTTCCAAAAGGATAGTTGAGGGACAGAATCACTGACTGTTTTACTCTTAAATGGCAATTTGTGGATAAGTTTTACTTTGGATTTCTTTGCTTAGTAGGGAGTAAACTTTGATTTTGGTGTTGAGTAGTGCTTTAGATGTTTGTGAATTACTTATTTATGTTCCTCAGCTATTTATATATATATCTTTTGAAGTATAATTGTCATATAATATCCTATTATTTATAGGTGTACATCCTCGTGATTCAGTATTCTTATACATTACAAAATGATCCTCATGATAATTCTAGTTAGTATCTGTCACCATCCAAAGTTAGTACAATATTGGCTATTATTAAAAAGACAATATATATAGGTTCTTTTTTTCTTTATATATACATAATGTTAATTCGTTGTCAGATTGATGCTCTTTTGAACTAGAATAATTTGATTCTTTGTTAAATTTAGATTGGTTTCATCTGGAAAGTTAGGTCAGTAATTTTTCTTTTTGTTATTAGAAGCATTGTTTCTAATGCATTTTAATAGTACAGGTGTTTACCATATGTTTGGCTTTTAGTGTTAATAGCTAACTAATGTTTTTCCTGCTGAAGGCCTTTTGTGAAGTTCAATTTTATGGTCTCTTTTATAGGTGACAGTACTAGATCTCAAGTTTTGAGAGAGAAAGTTATTGAATTAGAAACAGAAATAGAAAAATTTAAGGCTGAGAACACATCTTTAGCTAAACTTCGCTTTGAAAGGGAAAAGGCCTTGGAAAAGCTCAGGTAAGTTAGGGTCTGTAAGTTGGTAAAAATATACAGTGATTCAATTTTATCTTTAAGATTAAATCTAAAATATTTAAAACAGTTTTTGTCAATCAAGCAATGTAAATGAAAAGAAAGTGAAATCTGTATTCACTTAGAAACTTTTTAATTAAATAAAATGACCTATTGTGTTCAAGAATCTGCTAAAACAGGAGATCTCTTAGTAATGAGATCATAAATTGAAATCTGAAAAGCAGTTTGGAGCTATAAATTCACGTGCTACTAGAGTTACTGCAACTGAGTACATACAAACTGGGTGCCTTAAAACACAGGAGTTAGTTTTCTTAGAGTTCTGGAGACTAAAAGTCGGAAGCTGGTGCATCGGTAGAGCTGTGCTTTCTCACCTGTCTGCTAGTGGTGGCTGTGGGTTGTTGGCTTTCCTTGGCTGCAGCTGGACATTTGGGTTGTTTCTGTCTTGATTATTGTGAATAACGCTGCTGTTAACATGGGTGTACAACATCGGTCAAAGTGTCTGCTTTTAATTCTTTTGGATATCCACCTGGGGTAGAATCAAAGGATCATATAGTCATATAGTAATTCTATGCTCAATTTTTTGAGGAACCATAATACTTACTTCTGTAGTGGCTGTACCAATTTATATCACATTAATTGACTTGCATATGTCGAACCAGTCGTGCATCCCAGGGGTGAATCCTACTTGGTCATGGTGTATAATCGTTTTAACATGCTGTTGAATTTGGTGTGCTAGTATTTTACTGAGGATTTTTACATCTGTGCTCATTAGGGATATTAGCTTGTAGCTTTCTTTTCTTGTGGTGTCTTTATCTGGCTTTGGTATCAGAGTGAACTGGCCTCATAAAGAGTTTGGGAGTGTTCCTTCTTTTTTTAAAGAGAATTGTTATTTCTTTGAATGGTAGAATTTACCAGTGAAGCCACCTGACCCTGGACTTGGTTGGAGGTTTTTGATCACCGATCCAGGTCTTGTTTTTGGTCTGTTTAGGCTTTCTATTTCTTCTAGATTCAGTTTTGGTGGGTTGTATGTTTCTAGGAATTTATTTCTTCTAAGGTTATCTAATTTTTTGGAATATAATTATTTAGAGTATGGTCCTTTTTGTTTCTGAGCCATCTGTTGTAATGTCTCCTCTTTCACTTAGGATTTTATTTGAGTCTTCTCTCTTTTTTTTAGTCTAGCTAGGGTTTGTCGATTTTGTGGTTTTTCCTTCTGAGACTGCTTATGAGTATATTGGGTCATTTATGGTGTCTCAGAAATCCATAGGTTTTCTTCACTCTTTTTCTTTCTTTTTTCTTTTTTCTCCTCTGACTGGATAACTTCAGAATACCTGTCTTCAAATTTACAGATTCTTTCCTCTGCATGACTGAATCTTCTGTCAGCTCCAGGATTTCTGTTTGTTTTTTTGTGATTTCTCCCTTTTTGTTGAACTTCTCATTTTGTTTCATGTATTATTTTCCTGGTTTTTGTTGAGTTGTTTATCTGTGTTCTCTTATAGCTTGTTGCACTTCCTTAAAACAATTATTTTGAATTATTTGTCAAACAATTTGTATATTTCCATTTTTGGGGGTTGGTCACTAGAGTTTTTTCAGTTTCCTTTGGTAAGGTCATGTCTGCCTGCTTCTTTGTGATCCACATAGCTGTGTGCTGATGTGTTTGCATTTGAGAAAACAAACACCTCTTCCTTTCTTTACAGAAAGGTTTTGGCAGGTGAAGACCTTCTCCTCCTGGACCCCTGGACTGATGGGTTTGTCTCCAGGATCACAGTTGAGTGGGTTTGTAGTTGGATCGTGTGACTGCTGTTGGGTCTGCATTTGGCTGGCCTGTTCCCAGGGGTGCAGGCAGGTATAGCCCCTGCTAGATTCCCAGTTGGACAGGACTGGAGCTAGGTCCTGGAGCTACTTACGGATCTGCCGTTGAGTCTGCAGACAGTGGGTCTGTTAATAGGGGTGAAGACGGGTGTGTGGTTCCCAGGCGTCCTCCTGGGCAGGGTTCCTGACTGGGCAGGGCTGGCGCCAAGCTGCAGGGCTCTTTCAGTATTTGTAGTTAGGGCTAAGGTCTGTGGGCGGTTACCAGGGTCTTGGATGGGCATGGCTCCTCTTGTGGGTCCTTTGTTGGATGGGGCTGGAGCTGGACTGTGTTTGGTCTGCAGCCAGGACCACATTTTGTAAGCCTGTCACTGGGGCATAAGCCCATATTCTCAAAGTGTTTGTCCTCAATCTTAGGCTTCACTGGGGTTTCTTAGCCTCTTACCCTGGATTGTGGTGCTTCCACAAAAACTCTGTTGTCCATGGATGCCTGTTAGATTATTTTTTTGTGAAGGAGGATGTGAGCAAGGACCACCTGTTCCACCACCCTGCTGGCATCACCCTCCTTATGCTCCTAACACGGCATCCAGAGGGAGCCTGAGCTGACGGTTCCTCTGACCAAGATTCTCCTAAGCTAAATACTAAAGTTCTCACAGGGCTCTATAAGATCCCAATTTATCTGTCCCTCTTTTTTTTTTTTTTTTTTAATTTTATCCAACTATTCTCTCTTGCATAGTCTCTTACAGCCACACTGTTCTTTGAACACATCAAGCATATTCCTACCCTAGGGCTTTTGCATGTGGTGTTCCCTCTGCCTGATGAGCTGTTTTGTCCAGAAATCCTCATGGCTGTTCTCTCACTTCCTTCAGGTTTTGCTTCAAATATTATTTCAGCAAGATGAGTCCATCAATAATTATAGCCTCCTACCCTAATGTGTCCTAGTAAAACCTCATTCTTTTCTTGTTTTCCATATATTTATTTACCTGCCTTGTTTATTATGGTCTGTCTCTCCCATTAGAATTAGAAGCTTCACAGGAGTAAGGATTTTTTTTTCACTGTGGTTTCTCCAGTACCTGGTGTAGCACATGATTTATAGTAGGTGCTCAGTGATGCTTGTTGGAGGAATGCCTTATTGAGTTAATTGACTCTTATTTACTTCAGCACTGTGGATTGAAGATGGGATTGGCTAGTAGCTCCTCAATTTTAGGCTGCCACTGGTGTTCATTTCAGTAGCACATATAGGTTACTTTATAGAGATGGTCCCCTTAAATGATAACATGTCATTTTAGGAAAGAAATTGCAGACTTTGAACAACAGAAAGCAAAAGAATTGGCTCGAATAGAAGAGTTTAAAAAGGAGGAAAGGAGGAAACTACAAAAGGAACGCAAAGTTTTTGAAAACTATACTACAGTTGCAAGAACTTTTCCAGATAAAAAGGAACGTGAAGAAATACAGGTATGCTACCAGTTCATTATGTGATAATCATGTAAGTTAGTAAAGGTGATAATCTTGTAAGAATCTCTGAGTCATTGATATGTCAAAGAGAAATTAGGTATCAATTTATTAATCATCCATTGACTTAAAAAATAATCACCCTGAGGCGCTATGTCAGGAACATGTTTGGTAGTCTGATTCTTCTTTTTTTTTTT